CAGGTCGTGTTGCTCTCTAGCTCCTGTGCTTAAGGCTCTACACACACACACACACACACACACACACACACACACACACACAAAAGGAATCCCAGATAATACCAGCCAGATCAGATTCAAGTTCACTGTGCCCCCGCAACTATGGTCTTGATTAGATCTGCCGTTTTTCAATTCAAGCCCATGTAGTTTGACCTAATTACCTCCTCACTGCAGCATTACAGAACTTCCCACTACATGCTCTGTTTTTGAACCCCTCCCAGGTTACAACAATGATAATAACTTGTCTAGTACTTGTTAACAGCACTTTTGAAACCTTAATTATCACAAGAGTATCTTAACTAAGCAGGTTTATAAAAGCACTCCAAAAACTTCAGTCTTCTACATTACTAATATTATTAATAATGAAACTATGAAAATCTTTGGCAAATGATGACAAATAAATCAGCAAAAAACTAATCAAGTTTTAAATTCAAATAATATTTTAACCAACTAGCAGTAATAAACACATTATCCAAAATGACCGATATCATTAGTAATTTAAATGTCTTTAAAAAGTGAAATTAAGCATTATGATTACAAATGCAAACATTTAATTTTAAGTGATACACATTACTATGTCCCCATCAACACAGACACTAGCTCAGGATGGTGATAAACACTCTAAAAAGTAACTAAGTCAATTATTATAATCAAAGTTGAAGGGCAGGGATTTGGACCAGCAGCTGAGATGCTCCTTATAGCACAACCACACGTGGTAAAAGAGTGCCTGAGTCCAAGTTCTACCAAAACTCCCCATTGCAGCCGACGAACATTCAGGTGGCAGCAAGTGATAACTCAAGAGAGCTGGGTCCCTGCCTACCCTGGGAGAACGAAACTGAGTCCCTGGCCACTCCCTCCAGCTGACCCAGCTCTGCTGTTGGGGAGAAAACCAGACTGAAGCATGTCTGCGCTTGCACTTGCGCGTGCACTCTGTGTGTGTGTGTGTGTGTGTGTGTGTGTGTAAGCACACAGACTGACTGATTGATATCCATATCTGACTGCCTCTCTGACTCTCAAGTGAATTAAATAACTTTAAGAAGTACTTAAAATTTTAATAACCAGAGGTAAGTAAAGCAGCACCATAGACTAGAGAAGACAAAATATAGTCCGCCTGTTACAAGATGAGTAACTGGGCTGACATGGAGGCGTAGCCAGCTACTCCTTGCCTATAGTGCCAGCATCCCATGTGGGCATTGGTTCATGTCCCAGCTGCTCCACTTCTAATCTAGCTTACTGGTTTCCTGCCTAAGGCCCAGGAAAACAGCAAAGAGTGGCTTAAGTCTTGGGACCCCTACATCTACAGGTGGTGACCCCCAAGAAATTCCTTAGTTCCTGGCTACAAATCAGCTTAGCTCTGGTCATTATAGCCATTTGGAGAGTGAACCAAGAGATGGAAGATGTCCCTCTGTCTGTTTCTCCTTCTCTTTATAAAATCTGCCTTTCAAATAAAAATAAATAAATATTAAAGAGAAAGAGAAAGGGAGAGGGAAAGGGAAGGGAAGAAAAGGGGAAAAGGAAAGGAAAACAATTCAGTAAAAATAAAATTACAGGGCCAGTGCACTGGATCAATTGGCTAATCCTTCCCCCTCAAATGTTGGGATCCCAGATGGATGCCAATTTCTGTCCTGTTGCTCCATTTCCCATCAGCTCCCTGCTTGTGGCCTTGGAAAGTAGCAGAGGACGGCCCAATGCCTCAGGACCCTGCAACCACATGGTAGACCCGGAAGCAGCTCTGGCTCCTAGCATCAGATGGGCTCATCTCCAGCTATGGCAGCCACGTGGGGAGTGAACCAGAGGATGAAAACAACTTCTATTGCTCTCTCCTCTCTGTAAATCTGCCTTTCAAATAAAAATAGACATTTTTAAAATATGTAAAATAAGAGATCAATAAAAACATTTTGAAAAAGTAACTGGCTTTTTTTTTTTTGGTGGGTAAGACCTTTGTTTCCACATTATTATTATTGTTATTGTTTTTTCCTGCATCTGGGGTAATGTGAAAGAAAAAGGGAGATGCCTCACCCAATCTCCCACCCATCCCAGATTGCTGATGTGGGGCATGCTCCGAGGGTCCTGCCCGAGTGGTTTTGATAGCTCAACAGTTCTGAATTGCCGCCAGTCTCGCCATTCCAAGCATGATGAAATGTCTCCAGAATCCACTGGCTGACATAGTTCACTTTAGAGTCTCTGTCTGCCCAGATTTTCACTACCAACACATGGCTGGGCTAGTTGAATGATTTGTTCCATCCGCCGTTCTCTGTTGTGGTACTGGGTATCCTCTGCAGGTTCCTATGGTCTGCCATATCCTCCCTGTGCACCTGGATATGCTGTCCACTGCTCCACCTGAGCCTCTGAGGGGCCTCAGCTTTGACACTTGTACTCCATGGTCAGACCATGGAACCTGCACTTCTCTTCATGGTTGGGATTCTGAGTCGGGCAGTTTGGGGAGATCCCCAAAGAATCTTCGTCTGAAGTAATCCCAGATCCGATTCTTGCACATGCTTGCCTGTACAGGGTCCAGCACAGTCTGTTGCCTCAATCATTTTATGCATATGCTTGTGGTTGCAATTGCTGGATCAATTTTGTTTCCAGCCCTGACTTCCACACTAACCAATGGGTGTTGCAGTCCAGCCTGACTCTTCTGCCCAGCACACACTCAGCCCTCACACAAACTAATGGGAGCTGCAACCTAGTCGGAGCAACCCGCAATAACTCCCATCAGGTCTGCCTCCTGACCTGGTTCCCATGTTTGCCAGTATGTACAGTACACTGATTCAGTCTGTCCCACATCCCATTCAGCTCTCATACATGTGAATGGGCATTGAGGCCTAGTTCAACCTAACCGGCCCCTCATCCAGCCCATGCACATGCTGGCGGGTGCTGTTCTGTATAGCCACCACTGCCCCAGTCCTGGTTTTCATGCTCTCCAGTGGAGTGATAACCAAAGAGGGAGTTGCCCCCTATTTCCCTACCGGGTCACTCCTGGAATATGCACTCTCCAGGTGGTTCTGCAGTTCGACTTGACACAATCAGCCCCCAGAGCCAGCATCAGCCAGCTGATGCTGTGAAATGTCTTTTCCTAAAGAACACTTTATGAATTTCCAAGAACACTATATTTTTTAAACTCTGAAGTGTTCAAAAAGTCATAATACATTGCATTTAAAAGATAAAATCAGAAATTACTTTAAAAAGTCAACACAACCAGTGGATTCTGGAGAGATTTCATCGTGCTTGGAATAGTGAGATTGGCAACAATTCAGAACTGCTGCTGAACTATCAAAACCATTTGAGAAGCGCCCTCGTAGCATGCCCCACATCAGGGGCCCTGAGATGGGAGGGGAGGCTGGGTGAGGCATCTCCCTTTTTCTGCCCCCTTTCCCAGATACAGAAAACAAAAAGAGAGACAGAGAGAGAGGGAATGTGGAAACAATGGTCTTACCCAATCTTCTGCAGCCCTCGACCCTTTGCACCCTAATCAACTATGTAAAGATTATCAAAATAAGATAATAAAAAAATCAACACAAAACAAAAAAAAATGGAAAAGGAAGGAAAAGCTCTTTTTTTTTTTAAGATTCACTCAATTTGAGATGAGAATTCACAGAGAGAGAGAAGGAGGGAAGGAAGGTGGAAGGGAGGGAGAGAGAGCGAGTGAGAGAATATCTTCCAACTATTGATTCACTCCCCAAATTGTCACAATGGCCGGAGCTGGGCCAATCCTATCCAAAACCAGGAGCCAGGAGTTTCTTCTGGGCATCCCACCTGAGTACAGGTGCCCAAAGACCTGAGTCATCTCTGTTGCTTTCCCAGGTCATTGGCAGGAACTGGTTCAGAAGAGTAACAGCCAGGACTTGAACCGCCACCCATACTGGATGCCAGTGTTGCAGGCGGATGATTAGCTTGCTCGGTCATCATGTCGGCCCCCTAAAGTAAAATTCTGGTATAAAAATGATGTTTTCTGTAAGAATTATCTTTTTCAAAAAAAACGATAGCTCAGAAAAATAGTAAAGTACAATCTGAAAAATAACAAAAAATTTACTGTGGAGTAATTTTAACCCATTTAAGAAACCATTATATATTATTATCTACTATTCCTTCATTACACCAAGCAACCCTTTGATATTAGGCATTTTCAATTATAAATTAGCTAACTTTTCTTCAATCAAAAAGTCAAAATGTAAACCAAAAGCCAGCTTTTCTTAATACTATAAAACAACTAGTGTACAGCATCCCACCACAGCGATCAGTGTTCTGTCATCAGCACGACAGCTGTCCAAACAGGACGGACCCAGGTCAAGAGCAAACACAGAAATGAGTATGAACATGACCACTAGCTGACACTTCCACTCACACACGCACTCACACACGCAGAAATTCATCAAGCTTACCTTCGAACTGCACCTACGCTTTTCCTTACACTTTGACATGGGACACAGGAAATTCTGGAAGTCATAAACAAAAACTAAATGAAGCTCTCTCTTCTTGACAAAATACACACATAGCTGCAGTAGATTTAAGTTAGACATAAATATACACTGCATGCATGTCTCCTGTTCTACACAAAATCTCAGTATAAATTTCCCAGCAGAGGTTGGGGCATTTGTTCTCTCAAACTGAAGGCTTCACCACTGAAAAAGATTCAAATAACCCTAGTTAGAGAAGTTCGTTCTTAGAATATGAGAGTTGTGCTATAGATCTCCTCCAGCTACCTATATATGACAACTTCAACAAAATCAATTTACCATAGCCAACAAACCTGTTTAGTGAATATTAAAAGAACAAAACTTATTCAGTTGGACTGCCCATGCAAATATTAATAAAAAAATCTCATACACCTCATTTTTTAAATTTTTCATACTTTTTTATTTGAAAGGCAAATTTACAGAAAGAGTCAAAGAGAAAGGTCTTTCATCTACTGATTTACTCCTCAAAAGGCCACGACAGCCAGAGCTACGCTGATCCAAAGCCAGGAGCCAGGAGCTTTTTCTGGGTTTCGCACGTGGCTGCAGGGGCCCAAGGATTTAGGCCATCCTTTGTTACTTTCCCTGTCCATAAACAGAGCCGGATCCGAAGCAGAGAAGCCAGAACTCCACCCAGTGCCCATACGGAATGTCAGCATTGCATGTGGAGGATTAGCCTGCGGAGCCAGCATATCAGCCTTCCATGCTCTTCTTTAAAAATCTGGCCAAGTTCAAGGTTAGTCCCTTAAGTATATTGGAAGTTTCCATAATTATTTTATGAAATGAGTAAGCTGTGTCTAGACTTTCTGATCATCATTATTTTCTTCTACAGCTTGTTTCAAATTGTAAAGTTCATGTACAAGATTGCAAATTGATGCTCTATTTTTGGTCTACTTCAAAATTATCCACAAACATTCATGGAAATGCTATTGCTTCAATGAGGCACCATTTAATTCCAGGTCAGTAACCAATCATATTTAAAATTTTGGATTTGTAAAACTGTATTTAGAGGCACATTTTAAAAAGAAAACAAAACAGCATAAAGTCTTGCTTTTTGCTGAGTCCATGACACTGTTTTGTTCTTATGATGGCCATTTGTTGTATATCCTTTTTGCTGGACAAGATCAGTAGCAATCCAGAATCTTCCTCTGACAGTAAAGCTTTCCAAAAGAACTAAAGTGCAGGACAACTTCACTTGGTCTGGTCAGCTGAAAATGAGTAAACTAGCACCATTGAAACAGACTAAATTTTAACACTGTTAATTAGCAGTTCCATTTTCCTGAGCTTGCGTCTGTTCTTGGGCATTTGCTTGGGATATAAGCCGTTCTCCAGGAGGTGCTCCTTGCTGAGGCGAATCTGAGCGCCGTGCTGCAGCTGGAACGAGCACAGAGCTCGCAGCGGACGGAGTAAAGCCTGTGGAGAAAAGAGCCCAGAGTTGTGTGGATGGTCACAACACTCCCGGAGCAGAGGTCCTGCGCCTCTTCACACCTGCTGGCCTTGAACTGGGAAAAGCAACAGACAATCTAATAAGTACACACGGCGTCTAAATAAATAATGCCTTAAAATTCACACCTCACATTCCACTAAGGTCTTCTAGTAAAATGATATAAATACTGATTTCCATTAGGCAATAAAATCTGAGCTTAGTTTTAGACATTAATTTATTCAAACACCATGAAAATTTACTGCCATTAAAATTCTTTGTAACAGACAGGCACAAGGAAGGAGTCCTTTCAATACAAAGACAAGCACAATCAATTAGTTAATTCAGTTTCAATCACAACCCACACCAAGCTTCCTGCAGTGGTAAAAAGTAGACCAGAGGAGCAACGGGTGTTTTGTCACGTAACCTTTTTGCCACCATGACTGCCAGTGTTAACCCTCCAATCAGAATTGCAGTGCAGAGCCAGTTCAGATGTGTGAACAGGAGCTTTAAGTCCACAGAAGACTCCTTCCAGAACCAACAAATATTATATGCTTCCAGAGTTAAAGGACATTACAGTCTTCCCTCAAGACTTGAACTTCCCGTCAGGTCCTCGATCTGATGTTGTCTGATGGTAAAATTTGACATGAACAGAATGGGAAATGCAGAGAATACACACACAACACACTGAAACAACAGCACAGGCCTTCATAGTTCTTGTAACATCTGAAACAAGAATAATGCTTTTACTCAGAAATGCTAGCCGGATGGCCAGATGCATAGGAGTGTGCGCAGCAGGAAGCATCTGAGAATACAAGCTAGGCACTTGGAACAGCAATCTAGAGTCCCTTGTGAGTTCTTCAGGGGGAACAGAGAAAACAAAACCGATCAGACCCAGAACAAAGTCTGCTCACACAATTCAATACCTTCCCCTCAAAGCCTATTTCTTCCAAAACAAGTCTCTAACTCTGGTGCTTTCATTCGTTTAGGGTAGGAGAGGAAAGTACAGCTCAGTGCTGTCTTCAAGGATTCGTTAGCATGCTTCACTCTTGAGATCATTTGGTTCTCTTTAGACAACTAATCCAGGTACTCTGAACTTTATCTAGCATCAAAATTTCCATTATGGAGACAGTACAGTCATCCCAGCACTGAGGAAGTGAGCAGGCAAAGGCAGAGAGGAGTAGTCAAGTTATGCCCTGGTACACACACGTGTTCTTGTGTGTGTTTCTGTGTGCTGACTTCATGCTTGTATTAACCTGTGAGTTTTCTTCCTGGGTTACATTTATCAAAATTTTCAACTATTAGAACATCATAACAATTTAAGTTTGAGTTAGCTATTTGTTTTCCTATCAACATAAGGTTTCTGGACTCTACTGTAGCATAGAAGGTAAGCTGCAGCCTGAAACGGTAGCCAATCCATATGAGTGTCCAGGTGGAGTCCCAGCTGCTCTGCTTAGGATCCACCTTCCTGCTGATGCACCTGGGAGAGCCAGACGATGGAGAACCTGTGTGTTTGGGACTGCGTGTGTGCACACACACATGCACGCACATGCACCTCTCTATAACTCTCAAATCAGTACATTTTTCAAAAAGAACCACAAATGTTTCAAAAAACACTGAAAACAAAAAAAAACTGACTTTCTTAGAAAGTAAATAAAAAGAATAAGTGAAGACTATAACTTCTTCATTCATATTCATTGCATATTTTCTTCTAAAATGTTTCCTTTTGACATTCTAAGTAAGGATGAAAAAGATAATGAGAAATTTAGTTCACCTATTTCAATAAAAACAAGGTTTAAAAATTGCTATATAAAATTATTTTAATTAAAAAGAAAAAAAGAGAACTTGAGCATAACACACTTTCAAAAAAAAAAAAAAAGAAAAAAATGGAAGAAAAATCTAACCCAGAAAATTTTATTTAATGTTGTGCTACTTAAATGCAATTTAACATGCTATAAGTGCTGTTTACACAGCTCAGAATGAATATTTCAATAATACAATCTGGAAAGTTAAACTAATACAGAAAAACACTAGAGGGAAAAAAAGTTTAGGAGAACCTAAGTTTCTATCACAAATACCGTCTACTTATCATTTGAGTTAGAAATGTAATAAATTAATTAAGCATGTCTAAATTTTGTAGATAAATTATAACCAAATTCTTGGTTTATTTCCTTTTATAAACATACCTCTCGTATATTATCATTTTTCTCCAGAATGGAAAGGGCAACAGCTGCACACTCTAGCGTAGAAAGGCATCTATTGGTTGGTTGCATCCGAATTACATACTGACTAGAAATGTCAGTTTTTAACTGCACCTGCAACCAAAAACAAAATAATACAATGTTATTGGACTTTAAACTTAAAATTATAAAGAGTGCTTCTTGAAAAGTAATTACTCTTTTCTACAATTGGCCATTAACCTGACTATTATTTAGATACAATATCCTTTTGCCATGCTTGTTAAATTGTAGAAAGAAATAATTATACATAAAATTAACAAAATAATATACAACCAGAATATACACAGACTAGTACATATCCCAAGTAAAAAGACTAATGCCTCCAGTCCTGGGGAAAAAAACTGAACAAACATATTACAGAAAATAGAAAAATGACAAATACATGGGGAAAAAAACTCAACAAGGACACACAGATAAATCAGCAAGACAAACACAACCAAATAGGATGAAGAGCAAATGTAACTTCCACATTCTGTAGGAGAGTTGGCACAGCAGTCCTTTTAGAGAACTGACTATCTGCTCAATACTATGGTTTGTTTCACTATTTCTTGGCATAAACTGACAGTATTCTGTACTGGCTTCTGTAAGCTGACACCACACGCACACAGGCACACAGGCACACAGGGTGTGAACAGCCCTAGGTAGCACACTACACACACACTTCTCAGAGATAGCACTTTCACTGAAACCTGAAGGTTGCGGCTCATTGTATAAAAAAGTGAATGTGAATCTTTTGGGCTTTCAATTCCTATTAGTTAAACAGAACTCAAGCTATTTCATACTTACAAAATTCAATTAAAAACTCATACTCTGATCAGAATCATAGCTGAGGATATCTGAGTAGGTAATAATTTCAATTTTGACCATAAACTATGTGAATGTGAGAATTGGAAATAGTCTAAAATCTAGTCTTAATTCATAGCAACTTAACAAATTTGGCATCCTCTTTTATTTAGTTTTGTCAAAATCATGTGAGTCTCCAATCACTTCACTACCCGCAGCACCTTGTCCCCCAGCTCCTCCCCTGCCGCATCTCACGCAGCCCCCACGACAAAAACACACCTCCCTCTGCACTTTGTTCAAGAATTCTCTCCAAAAACTTGGATCCTTACTTTCTTCAGGGAAAGGATTTAAAGAAGTTTGCTATTTCAGGGAGTTCATTTCTCACTAAGGGAAAACCCAGAATTAAAAATTTACCATGCTGGAAGACTACAGAATATCTTTCACAAACCCTCTAGAAATTACAGAGCAGCCAGCCGGACACAGGACACTGTCCTGAGGCACCCTGCCACACGCTCCAAGGCAGCTGCGTGTTACTGAGCTCTCCCCATGGCTCATGTCACACTTCGTGCTCGTCTACCTTCCTTCCACTTGATTCACTGAGAAGCTGTGTGAGAGCACAAAGGAACCTGTTAATGTAACTTTTTTCTTTTTTAAGATTTATTTATTTTTATTACAAAGTCAGATATACAGAGAGGAGGAGAGATAGACAGGAAGAACTTCAGTCCGATGATTCACTCCCCAAGTGACCACAATGGCCGGTGTTGTGCCAGTCCGGAGCCAGGAGCCAGGAACTTCTTCCAGGTCTCCCACACGGGTGCAGGGTCCCAAAGCCTTAGGCCATCCTCGACTGCTTTCCCAGGCCACGAGCAGGGAGCTGGATGGGAAGTGGAGCAGCCGGAATTGGAACCGGCACCCACATGGGATCCCAACGCGTTCAAGAGGAGCACTTTGGCCACTAGGCCACTCTGCCAGGCCCTAATGTAGCTTCTTAAAAAGTCACAGGCAGCATCATAGCAAGTCATTTGTGAGAGGCACTTTGTTTTCTTAAGTAACAATATAAGAAAATTAAAGGGTAAAATAAACATATGATGCAACTACAGTATAAAGAGCAGTTATTGAAAAACCAGCATGAACCTGACAACTAATACCAATTTTTAGTTTCTTAGTTGCCTCCACTTTTTCCTCATGCCCATGAAATCATACAGCTGATTCCAATACTGTCAAAAACGTATTTTTCACCTATCAACACTCAGATTACATATACATACCATGCTAATTTGCAAATCTGGGAAGCCTGCTGACTCAAATGATGCCTTGGCAATTTGGATTTTCCCCGAAGTTTGTTATCTGTACGTACAGCTTACGTGTTCTTAAAGGAACACCTAAGTCAGGCATCCTACGGGTTCCATCCAAAACAGATCCATGTGGCCCTCAGACATAATTGCCAGGAGGCTCCAGCAAGACCAGCACCACTGCCAACCCAGTGACTTAGGACAGCTGGTGTCTCCATAATCCCAGGCACTGCTCAAACCAGGAGTGAGGAAAAGGCTGTGCAGGCAAAGGTGCAGCCATAGCACAGGATCACTAGAGTTAGCAAGTGGTGAGGCAGAATGGGGGCTATGAAGGCCATGGTGGATGCCTAGCGCAAGAACCTGACACTGAAACTCACTGGAGGGAATGGCCCAAGTAAGTACAAACTGGCTACTGCAGTTAGTAAAACCGCCCTGCAGAGCAGTGTGAAACACAGTTTAGAAAGCAGCCCTAAGGAAAGCAACTGCTAATCAGAATAGCAATGACAAACAGCAAAACAAGAGCCAAGACACAGTGAATATTACAGAAGACTCTCCTGCAAAGAAAAAATAAAGCCTTTGACAAGCTCAGAGTTAACTAAGGAAGACATCAAGGAAATTCAGAAAACAATGGCATTACCCCCCCCCCAAAAAAAAACAACTGCAGTGAGGAGCCCTCACCTCCTCCTCACCCCATTAAAATGGCTATCTTCCAAGAAATAAAAAATAAAAAAGCTGGCAAGGATGTGAAACAAAAGGTACTCTTACACGCTGCTGGTGGAAATATGAACTGGTACAACTACTTTAAAAGACAGTACTTACATTTCTCAGGAACTAAAAACAGGTCTATTATAAGACCCAACTATCCACTCTTGGAAACATATCCGTAAGAAACAAAATCACTGTATGGAAGAATTGCCTACACCCCCATGTTTTATAGCTGGTCAGCTCACAGTAGCTAAAATATGGAATAAATTTAGATGTCCATCAACTGCTGACAGGATAAATAAAATGCAGCCCATATAATAACAAAGTATCTGTCAGATAAAAAACAAATGAAATCCTAACATGTGCAACAAAATGGATTCCAGTACAGAAGATTATGCTAAATAATTCAGACTGATTCAGATAAATCTATTTTGCTTATTTGTGGTAGTTATACATACAGTATAAAAACTGTCCTATCAGTCACATACAGCTATAAGCAGTGCTCCACTGACTCACGCCCCGTAATGACAATGCACTCTTATCTCACTTTAAAAAGAAATCATGGGAGGAATAGTAAGAAGTCTTGCTGTTGGTTGTCAGTGTGATCAGAAAAAAAATTCACTTCTCTGATACTGGGATGCATTTCTTGGCATATATATATCGTATTTAAAAGCAAAATAGCTTTTAAAAATAGAACTTATTCTTCCTCATTAACAAATTTTAGTACAGAAAGTAGTAATGGCTGGATCTTACCTATTCATAATATCAGTGAATACAAGTATCTGATGAACAATGCTATAGAAACTGACTTTTCTATCAGTTTCTGAAAATGGATTCGTCCAAGTGGAGGGTACTTACATATCTAAACTTCTTCACATTGGGTTACATCCCCTTATACATTTTGGTAGAAACCTAAATATTTAGGATTTTACAAACAGACTCACTAGTCTTTCCTATATAATATGAAAGTTAAAACGTCTTGTGAATCACACATTAATTCAAATGAAACCCCATCTAACAGCAGTTTTACTGATTTTAATGCTGCAATATCTTCACAGTTACAGTAAACAGTATCTTGGCCTACATGTGGAATAAAACATATATAGAGATACTTTAAAAATCAGACACTTTGGTCCAAGACATTTGAAATTCATGTGTAGTTTTTTCACAACATACATTTTCTTTGAACTTTCAGAAAAATTTCAAACTACACCGTAACTTCATTTGCTTAACAAAACATTTATTTTAAAATTTACATGAAAATAGACACGAGACAGCTGAATAGTATCTTATAGCCACTTTACGGTATATAGCAGCCAGTTCTGTGTATAAACAAAAAATGAAATGTCAATGAAGTAGTCACAGGATGTGGTTAAGAACATGCATGGTAACATATTGATTACTCAATACCATGTCAATTAATTCCATAATGCTGTAAATTGTTGTTGATGTGCTGGGGTTTTCAATTGATCAGGATGATATTCTGCCAGCTCTACCTTAGACCAGAGATGGTTTCCCCAACAAACTGTTGAATTTGTCTGGACAACAAGATGCTGGACTCTATGCTTGGTATATGTTTGCAATGAAAGAATCTCGACTTAATTTGATCTGTAATACTACAACAAAATGGAGGAATCCACCATGGGGGGAGGGTACGGGAAAGGGTTGGGGGAAATCCCAGAGCTTATGAAACTGTGTCACATAATGCAACATAATTAATAAAAAAAAATTACAAGTTAAAATGTATGTTGTTTCATTCAGTTAAAAAACTTTGTGTCCTATAACCTTAGAAAATAATGTACCTGAGTTGGGAGACAAAAAAAAAAAAAGCACAGAAAGTAAGGGCATGCAATTTGGAGTTGACTGCACTTGAATTTTAATCCACACAGTAATTCATGACACCAAGTAAGTGTCTGGAACTCTCAAAGCTTAAAACATTAACAACCTACGAAAGAGACTGGCTCCAAGGAACTAACCTATGAAGTGCTTAGCAATGCCTGGCACACAGCAGGCACCAACACAGCAGAGACCAAGGGACACCACTGCAGCTGCTGCACAGCAGGAGGGAGGAAGGAGGGATGGCTGCTGACCCTCCCTCAACTCAGCCTTTCTGCACAGAGTGAGACAGGTTAGGACAGAGCCAAGAGAATACCAACGTGCAGGAGGCTGCAGGAAGAAAACCTCCACAGTAGGCTGAGAAAAGGCATCCAAGAAATCAGGTAAAGAACAGAATGAAGGCGTTATAAAACATCAGAGGAAAGAGAAGAGTTACTTTGCCAGATAAATATTAACTGG